TCAATTACTGAAGGACACAACCACAAAAGACACCTTCACTGCAACTGTCAGAGCAAAGCAGGAAACACTACGCGACATCACTGAAGAATCATGCGTGGAAGAACATTGGAAGTCTCTGAAGGCGATTCTCAACGAAACGTGTTCAACGGTTCTAGGAAGAAAGAAGAGACAAGACAAGGAATGGCTCTCAACGGACACTTGGAAATTAATAGAAGAGAGGAGAATGGTGAAAGAGAAAATGATTCAATGCAAGGACGGACAGGAGAAGGAGACGATGAGCTCAACTTACACAGCATTGGACAAAGAAGTGAAGAAGAGTGCTAGGAAGGACAAAAGACGATTCTACGACAACCTGGCCACTGAAGCTGAGAAGGCAGCAGGCAAAAGGGACCTGAGGACACTATATCAGATAACCAAATCTCTATCCGGGAAGAGATCAACACAAGCGAAACCTATAAAAGACAGCCAAGGGAACCCAATTACCAAGGAAGGAAAACAGATTAAACAATGGGCGGATCACTTCAAAGGACTCTTGAACCGACCATCACCTGCAACCCGTCCAGAAATACCAACAACAGCGCGCACACAACTGCAAGTTGACACCAATCCTCCAACGAGAGCTGAAGTCTTGAATGCAATCAAGCTTCTGAAAGCTGGAAAAGCAGCTGGACCAGATGGAATACCCCCTGAAGCACTGAAAGCGGACCCAGATACGACAGAATATGCTGACTCCATTATTGCAAAAGGTCTGGAAGGAGGGAAAGGTGCCTACTGACTGGAGGAAAGGTTACCTCGTGAAACTACCAAAGAAGGGCGACTTAGAACCCTGCAAGAACTGGCGAGGAATCATGCTCCTGTCGACGCCAAGTAAAATCCTGAGTCGCATCATCCTGGAGAGAATAAAGGACGCACTGGATACAGAACTCCGACCAGAACAAGCTGGATTCAGGAAAGGCAAATCATGTTCTGACCAAATTGCAACTCTACGCATCATCATCACAGAACAAAGCATGGAATGGCAATCAAACCTCTACCTCAACTTTATAGACTTTGAGAAGGCCTTCGACAGCGTTGGTCGTGAAGTAATTTGGAAACTACTCGAGTACTAAGGCGCGTACCCCAAATATTCATCAACCTTATTCAACAGCTGTACGACAACGGAACATGTCAAGTGATCCACAACGGAAAACTCAGCGAGGAATTTGGAGTAAACACAGGAGTCAGACAAGGGTGCTTATTATCGCCAATGGTATTCCTAATTATAGTGGACTGGGTTATGCGTCAGACAGTGAGTGGAAACGAGAAGACAGCGAGGGATATCCTGTCTGGACCGACGTGAAGGACCTAGAAGACCTGGATTTGCGCGTGGACGATTTATGTTTGATGTCACACAAAATCGAAGACTTTAGGCAAGCGAAAACTGACAAACTGGTCGAAGAAGCAGTCGGCGAAGACAGGACTCCAGGTGAACATAGACAAGACGGAGGTGATGAAAATAACCAACCAACAACAACAACATCCAGCGCCAATCACCACCAACTGGGGGGATTTGAAAGAGGTCACTTCATTCACTCACTTATCTAACGAGCATTGTCTCAACTACAGGCTGTCGGAACGGACGAGGATGTCAAGTCGAGCGAGAATCGGGAAGGCGAGAAACACATTCATTCATCAACCTGAAACCAATCTGGAAATCTTCGTCACTCAACTCAGCATCAACAACAAAATTCGGTCGGATTTTCAATACAAACAACGTCAAGTCAGTCAGTCAGTTCTTCTATACGGATCAGAGACTTGTCAGACGAGTGGATCACAAACAATATTTCCAACAGCCTGTTGCAGACCTTCATCAACCAACAACTGTCTTCGCTGGCTCTTTACTGAAGATCAGATGGCCGGCCGGCCGGGCCGGAAAGAATCACCAACAAGAAACTATGGGAAGAAACAAAACAAGAACCAATCGCCAGCCAACCAATATGCATGAGAAAGTTGAGATTGATTGGACGCTCGTTGAGGAGGCCGGTTGGAGACTGATATGTATCCACATGATGTGTGTTTTGTTTTTGACAGTCTATTATATTTTGCTATGTGTAAATGGATCGATATTCCATTATAACTGACATTGTGCTTTTGTCTGTCCACTAACTAAATAAACAATGTATGACCTTGTTGTTACATGACATTACAACCAATCATGGTAAGCTATCTGTCTATTGGTTCATGTGTATTAGCCATTTTCATATATACTTTTGTATTAGATTCTTGTTCACACATTTCGTACATTTAAGTACCCTTCCACTCACACACTTGTGTAACATTTATTTTCCTTGTTTAGAAAATACAAGTATCATTGTAAACCTGGAGGTCTTCTGATTTCCCTCTTTCCGCGTCAGGACTATTAACTACTCGACGAGTACATAACATAATTGGCGACGGGAAAAACTCTAATAACTCACTCAACAGCAGTACATAACAGAGACATCGCGCGTCAGGCCCTCGAGTGGAATCCGAAAAGGAAGAGGCGAGTGGAATGTCGGTGCAAGGGTGACATGGAGAAGATCGTATGAAGAGAAGTTGAAACAGTATGGACTAACATGGGTGCAGATGAAAATTACAGTAAAAGAGAGAAGCAAGTGGAGATGTGCAGTTGAAGCCCTATGTTCCACTAGGAACCCAAGGGAACAATAATAATAATATATCCCGTAGATTCGGAAAGTGGAAACAAACAATATCGGGAAGTTGGTGAGACAGAATAGTAAGAAAACATGTACATAAGACAAATTGTGAAGCCGTGTGAATAATACATTGATATTCATTATAATAAAGGCTTTTGTATTTCCCAATGAATGATAAACAGAACGATATTGTTGTCATTTTACTAACGTTTCGCTATTTAATGCTGCTGATAATAGCTTTATCAAAGTGGTATTATTAAACCAGAATTTACAAAATCCACTCAGCTTATATATATATATATATATATATATATATATATATATATATATATATAACAAAGAGTTAAGAGGTGAGAAAATAAACTTGGGTCAAGTTAAAAGGACATATTGAAAGTCAAATTAACATTGGAGATCACTAAACCAAATACCAAAGGTAATAGTACATCTATAAAGTTATATTTGTAAAATCTCAGCGAAATTGAAATAAGTAATTCCAACGTTTCGTTCGTTAATCTGGTCCGAACTTCTTCAGCGAAATTAATCGAAATTAACATAACAGAGGTTTATATATAAAAGGGATGTCTCTTGTTTTTTAAAACTTTGTCCAATCATGAGTCATGAAACAGCTATCAATAGGTATACTAAACAAAACAAAACAAAAATTTTTGATCATAGTTCATACAACTTTTGTTTTGTATTGTTTAGTATACCTATTGATAGCTGTTTCATGACTCATGATTGGACAAAGTTTTAAAAAACAAGAGACATCCCTTTTATATATAAACCTCTGTTATGTTAATTTCGATTAATTTCGCTGAAGAAGTTCGGACCAGATTAACGAACGAAACGTTGGAATTACTTATTTCAATTTCTCTGCCTACTTCTCACTCAGCTCTCAATTATTTTGCAACTATTCGGTCAAATCTTGATCACAGTTCATATGAATAATAGTACACCTGTTATGATATCAAAACAAAGCTTACTAACTTGATCATCGTTCATCAGTCTGGGGTCATTTTTCGTTGTCAAGTTGGTCAATTGGTAAAGATAACAAAATCAAGTGTAGATTATTGGATCTGATCAGTGTGTAAAATTATAAAAGCAGTGTGTGTGTTTACATAGTGAACTTGCTTATCACATTCGTGTTGATTTTGTCACTTCATGGGGTAGGGAGGTGATGTAACCAGGTCAAATTCTGTTTTAGTTCATCATTCCTATTCAGTTCAGACAATTTGGACTCCACTTGATATGAAGTGCTTCTCATATTAGACGTTCTTTGTGATATCTGAAAGGCTTTTTCTGGATTGTTTCAATACTGTCAAAATCAACTGTGTGACCTGCTTCTATAGCGTGTAGACGAGCTACGGCTGACGATTTTTCAAGCCTTTCTAGTTCAACTGAATTTCTCGGTGGTCGAACAGATGCAACTCTACGGTGTTCATTTCTTCTGATAACTTTGATTTATCAACATGTACGTCCGATGTAGATCGCATCACATTCCCAGCACTTTATTTTATAGACACAATTAGATAGAGAATCTTTAGGGATTTGGTCTTTTATATGGACAAGGTTGCTTTGAAGTGTGTCTGATGTTTTGAAGAAAACCCTAATGTCGAGATGATTGAGTACTCTTCTGATATCGTCTGAAGTCTCCCTATGTAAACACGCACTGATTTTATAATTTTACACACTGATCAGATCCAATAATCTACACTTGATTTTGTTATCTTTACCAATTGACCAACTTGACAACGAAAAATGACCTCAGACTGATGAACGATGATCAAGTTAGTAAGCTTTGTTTTGATACCATAACAGATGTAATATTACCTCTGTTATTTGGTTTAGTGATCTTCATTGTTATTTTGACTTTCAATATGTCCTTTTAACTTGACCCAAGTTTATTTTCTCACCCCTTAATTCTTTGTGATATATAAGCTGAGTGGATTCTGTAAATTCTGGTTTAATAATACTTTGATAAAGCTATTAACAGCAGCATTAAATAGCGAAACGTCAGTAAAATGACAACAATATCGTTTTGTTTATCATTCATTGGGAAATACAAAAGCCTTTATTATAATGAATATCATATACCCAATGCCCAAACTTTTTCAAACCGTTAAAAGTGAACTTGGTTTAGACATATATATATAAATACATTGATATGATTATAAGAGACCAATAATTTATGCTCGAAACCTTGTCTGTCATCCAGTTGTGAATGCTGCATCATCACTGTGTATGATATTTAAAATATACACTCATCTAATATGGAATCACATTCTACCACAATATATATATAACATATAACCAAAATCAACTTACTAAACAGTTTTCAAAACTGATCTACAGTATTTTTCAAAAAAATAGGAGAAAATTGTATATTTTAGTCTTGTTGGAAAAAACAAGATGTCAAACAATGCAACCACATACTCTGATGTGCTAATAAATTGGCTTATATATCAAGAAAAAGTTCCTCATCTAAGAGATTTCTCACTAATGACTGAGTTCCAGTGATTAGGTCGAAACATCTGTTGTCAATGCTGCTGGACAATGAATTGTTTTCAAGAATCAGTTTGTAGAGATTCTGTTCGCTTCGGGTTAGACCACCGATTGGTATCAGTTAGAGAACCATTGACAACCCACTGCCAGGGTTCGAACCCAAGATCTTCCGGTTACAAGGCAAGCTAGCTCGTTTACCCATTCAGCCACTGGGACCCAATTCAATGGCTACCCCATGAATTCTAACTTCTACCAATTCGTAATATTGGCGCAACCACCAACCAGTGTCGTCAGCGGGAGGTACATCCTCACTCCCAGCTGGATGGACCTTACTGGCTACGACTTCTCATTAAAAGCACAGGCAACGTCGTCCTGTGGTCAGTCACTAGTGAATTATTTTGTAGGGATTCTATTTGTTTCAGGGTGCCTACTACCGATGAATCCCAAACAACGATGAAACAGCTGCCCAGTACTCCCTGGTTTCTGAGTGGTCCTATTGTGGTGAGACCTGCCTGCTAGATAAATTTGGTAGAAAATTATTTACGTCACTGTTTACATCCCCAATATTGATCATGAGAAAAATAAGAACAAAGACTGATTCAACAAACAATCCCAGCAGACTTTGCGTATGCGGATACAGTTTGGAGAGAGATAATCTGACATTCAAGAAACAGCCACAAAGAAATGAAACATTAATGTTCAGCAAGAAACCACCAATCAGATGACAGTGTTTGGTTGCTTATGATAATCTATACTAATATACATGAAAATCTATAAATACCTGTTGATTTCCTTAATAAACGATCTGTTAGCTGGCCCTTGTCTTGTGTTGTTTCATTATAACTAATATCAATCCGTGCTCTAACCTGAAATAAATCGTTTGTTTGTTCGAACTGGTCTCCATATTGGCGGGCGACAGTTTAATCGTGTACTGGTTGGCAGAAGACTGTAGAAATACAACCAGGAGTATTGTTTACACGATATTAAAGTTTATTTACAGATTTTGGCACTGATTAAGCATTGTAAATCTGCTTCATTATCGTGTTGAAGAATATACAATCTTGTTGTCCAACCGTTTTCTGTTGTTCTGCATCAGTAACAATGTATAATGTTCTGCATATCAAGCTTATTATTCTGAAATTAGCGATAAGTCCAGGATCTCTGCAATCTGGGTACTTGACATGTGTCTTGTACTGAATGATTTTCAATGTCTATTAACTACTTGAGCTCAGAATTAAAACGTTTTATCTCTCTGTATTTCAGCATAAGCGAAAATATCTTCAATCTATCCAGAATAGAGGAGAAGCATGATTATGCTGTGTTCTTCCATTCATTTGAGTCCCGAATGGAATATTGAAGTTCACACTTTTAAGTTTCGACTATAAGTGGTGGTGTTTATAGACAAAGCAATCAGAAGACGTAATTTCAAGTATGGGTTTGTTGGGATTTGGTTGATTGGTAACAGGATTTTATCATGAGTTGACATTGGTTAGAGAACCATTGGAAAACCTGTGAGTACTGGACAGCTGTTTCGCCAAAATAGTTTGGGACTCTTCATCAGTACGCTTCCACCGAGGTTCGAACCCAGGACCTCCTGGTTACAAGGCGAGCTCGTATAACATTAAGCCACTGGGACCCGATCCAATGGCCAACTATGAATTCTAACTTCTGCCAATTCACGATATAGCGCAATCGCAAGCCAAAGTCTTAGGTGGTGAGTATTTGTCCTCACACCCGATCTCATGATGAAATCCTGTAACCAAGAAATAATTTTACGGGTTGATCGCGGATTGATATCAGTTAGAGAACCATTGAAAACCAGAGAGTACTGGACAGCTGCTGTTTCATCCTAGTTTGGGAATCATCGGCAGTACGCATTCACTGGGATTCGAACCCAGGACCTTCCGGTTACAAGGCAAGCTCGTATACCATTCAGCCACTGGGACCCGATTCAATGGCTCATGAATTCTAACTTCTACTAATTCGTGATTTAGCGCGACCCCTGGTTTTCAATGGTTCTCTAACTGATATCAATCCGCGATCAACCCGTAAAACATAACTAATCCTTACAAACCAAACTATAGAAAGAAGTAATTTGTCTGAATTTTGTAATACTGTATTTGTGCAACACATTTCGAACAATCTGATCACACACACGGACTTGTCATAGGAATGTGTATATGTGAATGAAATTAATAAAGAGTTAAGAGGTGAGAAATAGAAATAGACTTAGATCAATTAGTTAAAATGACATAGTGAAGGTCAAAATAACAATGAATATTACTAAACCAAAGTTTACCAAGGAAGTTGGTTTAGTGTGGTGATGACGAATGATTGCTTTGAACACATAGAGGTGGTTTAAACTTCCTTATTGCTCCCTAGGGCTTCCACAAACTATAAGATACTCCCTTTCCAAAACACATTTTATAGATAGGTTTAAAAGACGTAAACGTCCATTTTATGTCCTGTCTCCTCTGTAATATGCTTGGCAATAGAATAGCTTGATCGTCATCTGGTTCTGGAGATTCTATCGGCTTCTGAAGCCACTAAAGAATATGCTGTGAAGCCACCTCCTACTTTCAGAGATCGATGAGCCCTCTCTTCTATTTATGTGCGTCCACACATACATTTAAATTGGTAAATACAGTGGGATGTGACAACATTTTTCGCATGTTCTAAGGGTTTGGATTGATATACGTGGTTTCACATCCTCAGTTATTCTGATCCTTGTTTTCTTAAGAGAGGCTGAATGCCTTAAGATCAACCTTCTGTCTTTTCCAAACTTAATACCGACTAACCGAGTTCTAGGAGTTTGTTGCCAGAGTACCAAACCCCTACCACATGCATGTGATTCATGAACATTCTACCAGCAAATCGCTAACAAAAGATTATGCTTAGATGAATGTATTCTATTTTTTTATTCCATAACACACTGCATACTACTAACTGATTAATATAAGTAGTTGCCAATCACTTATATCAACCAATAGTATTTGCTAGCCCTATGGTATTGACGCAAAAAAAAGAACTTGAAAGCCATTTCGCTCATTTCTAGCCGACCTAATCAGCTTGAAGTGCAGAATCGGTTAAAAAAAACTGATGAGATATCACCTCGAACTGTGAAAATTGCAAAATGGTGAAATTGATTTCCGGTAATAGTTAGCATAGCTAACGTAATTAATTTCTTATAGGAATATATCAAAAAGATGACTGAAGTGTTAGTGTCGGTTTCCTCCCCCCCTTGCCGTCCACCTCTTTTCCTTTAAAATCTTCGATCTAGTGATTGCCTTCCTATCTCACAATAAAAACCTTCATGAACGACTATAGCGGAATTGGACACAGTTATACAGCATAACTCAAATGTAGAATCAAATCCATAATATGCACACTGCACATATCGAGGTGAGAATCTACCGCAGTTCCCAATTGGAAATCTGAATATTTGGATCAAATTATGTGACCTGCCTGACAGTAAGTAAGCAAGCTAGCAAGCATAAATACATTGTGCTATATACTACTGATTAGTTAATATTGTGGTATATGCTACTGATAAGATTTATCAGCAGTATATAAACAGACGTTCATCGCAGCACACAAAAATATCAAATAGAAGGGAGTTGGATTTGATGCCAGAGAGAGAGAGAGAGCAAATGATCCAGAATTTGTTAAAAAAAACATGGAAGACACGAAAAGGAAACACAATACAAAGAGAAGGAAGAAATAGCACAACATGGAAGGTCTGTGAAAATGATGATTTGGAGATAAGATGTACATAATTTGGCTACATAAGAGACACTAAATTGCAAATACACACTGCTTTACCAAGTCTTCAGTCTTCTGCCATTACAATATGCGTGGATGAAAACTACTCACCTCCAGCAGCGGTGTTGGCTAGTCAGATCGAAGTACTCTTTCAGTGCTCAGGTTATCAGAAAGGTGTATTAGGTATGACTAAGTCCAGATATCCGAATAATTTCATGTCGACTGAATTTTAGCTACCTACTTGACTGAAATTCTAACAAAGTGAATCATATTCGTCATCTACGGATTGCTTAGTTCTAGGAAAGAAATCAAAAGTTTTCTTTGGAAATCGCAATAATTTAAATTCAGATATGTGATCTTATTCGCTATGTTGTATTATCATTATGAGTATATTTTATTCCGGCGAAGTTAAACTTTCGACACCGCTAACTACCAATCAGCGAATTATCCAATGAGATTCACGAACGATGTCGAATTATCCAATGAGGTTCACGAACGCAGTTCAATGTTGTATAGCGCTTGATTCATTTCTAATGCGTGACCTTACAAAGCTATCGTTGCGATTCGAGGAGGTTAGCGTTTTCCAGTATTTCCTGGATTTGAGTTGCGCCGGAAAGAGCGAATTTGTCTGTGTGGTGGTATCATGACTTTAAAAAGCTATACCAAATCAACTGATGGGTTTGTTCATCGTTGTGCTATATGTTTGAAGCCTACTAACTCTAGAATAAGTAAGCTGATAATTTTAATATTTCGTAGGAACTTTTTTCGCTAGGTCGCTTCTCTCCCTAAGGATAGCAGATAGAAAAGCAACTACTCTTATACCTATTATTACCAGACTTGTTAAACGGGGGTCAATTATACACACCGACGAGTGGAAAGGCTACAATTCACTGTCATCTCTGGGATATATTCATCATAGAGTCAACCATTCAAGTGATTTTGTGGATCCCGTTACGAGGACACATACAAATTCTATTGAAGGATTTTGGGGCAGGTTGAAAAATAGGATAAGGGCTATAAATGGATCTAGTTTATGGTCATTTGGATGAATATATGTACAGGATATGGTGTAACTTCTCCATTGACGGTCCCATGCTAAACTGGGAGATGTTTCTCTCACATGTTCGAGAAGGGTATCCCATGTAACTTTTTTATTCTCTATTTTATGCTTTTTTCTACAAATATACATTTCCATTCATCATATATGCCTCTTTAATGTGACTGGTCCGTTCAAGGTCGTTTGCTGATTGGTTGTTAGTGGTGTCGAAAGTTTAACTTTGCCTTTATTCCTCATAACCCTATTAAAGTGGTCTTAAATAACACAATGTGATCGTAAAGACGACCAGCTAGTTATACAATTGGTCGTATCACATAAACCTAACCAATATGGAACCCAACAGTTTTGTGTCAACATATGTTCATTAGGAATATCAGTGTTTTTGCCGCTCATACAATTGCAAAATTTATAAATATACGATTCAAAAATACCAAGAAATAATGACATCCTTTGACGTCAAAGCATTATATACTTCGAATGCACAGAAACTAGCAAAAAAGACCAGGGAGAAACTACTCAACAACAACAACAACAACAAACCTCTCCCACAAGAGTCAGAAATGAAGCATACAAGTTGGACGGAATGCATAAACCTATGTCTAACAAATTACTTCTAATTCAAAGGCCAAATGTATGAACAAATTAAAGGAACACGCATGAAATCGCCAATATCAGGTTGGATTTCAGAAGATGTGATGCGTAAAGACTCAAAAACATAATCCTACCAAAGATCAAACCCAAAATTTGGATATGTTTAGTGGATGACACATTCGTGAAAATCAAAAGGAACAACTTAGACAAAACTTAGAGTCTAACAAACAGCATCTTCAGAGACATCAAATTCACAAGAGAATAGGAATCCGAGGACGAAATCCCGTTTTTTTGACGTCTTATTCAAGCGAACAACCACAGGAAAATTCGAAACTCAAGCTTATAGAAAATCAACTCACACACAGACCAAATCCTGAATTACAGCAGCAACAATCCAGTGACACACAAAAGAAATTCCATACAAACACTATTCAAGAGGGCCAGTCAGGACTCATTGCAGCACTCTCAATTTAAGGAAAACTGAATAAAGATATCTCATGGACGTCTTTCAAAAGAATGGATATCCACGAATATAATCAAGAGACATTTACCCCCAAACCAACCTACCAAATCGAAGTCCCTCAAAGAAAACATAAAGAAAATCGCGCTACTATATATAAAGAACGTCTCAGAAATCACCACAAGACTCTTCAAACCTTTAGGGACTGACGTCGTACACAAACCAACAAAGTCAACCAAAAGACTCAACAACGAAAGAAGATAAAACCAACATCATCTACAAAATAAATTGTAACAACTTAGAAAAACACTACTTTGGCCAAACTGGACGTCTCTTTCGTCTTCGTATCCACGAACATAAGCTAGCCGTCAAAAGACATGATATTCACTCCTTCATATCGCTTCACTGCACATAGACAACCACAGACATCAATTCTACTGGGACAACGCTCAAATATTAGACAGAGGAAACAACAAGAATGCTAGAGAATTTTTAGAAGCCTGCCTGGTATTCCAGTGAATCATCAATCAATCATAGACACATCGAGATGGACAAAACTTATCAACCGATATGAAGGAAACCTCACACACACACAAAGGGTCAAAGTTCAAGTCAAAGAAACAATCAGTTCCAATACAAATAGCTGCCTAGAGGGTGTGAAGACACACAAAAACAATCAAAGAGTCACGTTCAAGGTCACCCAACAAGAGAAATGATTAATGAACTCGTAGAGAAATCTAAAAGTTCACTTCAGTAAATTGAAGTATGTGCTGAAGATGTTCCCTAGTTTCGGGTCAATGAAAGCTTCACAAATAAACCATCCAGCTAGCTCAGAGAACACAACTACATCAAAAATATATACTACTTATAAGGCCTTTCATTATCATGAAACAGATGAAATGTCCACTTCATAGTTTTCATCAATAATATCTGTGTATTATCAAGGAGAATGTTTGTAAACCAAACTCATAGTTTACAAATTAATTTCCACAGTTTGAGGATAGATTTCATTACAGTTTGTTTTGGAAACTGAAATTATTCAGAGGTAGTTTATGCAGTGTGCTACTGATAAGATTTATCAGTAGTATATAAAGTGACGTTCATCGCAGCCCACAAATACCATACATACCACATATACATAACACAAATACCATATAGCAAGGAGATAGATTTGATGTCAGAGAAAGCAGATAATACAGCGTTGCGGAGACACATGAGGGACATGAGAAGACAAAGAAAGACACACAATATGAATAGGGGTAGGGGCAGAAGTAGTACACCACGGAATATCTATGAAAATGATGATTTGGAGATAAGGTGTATATAATTTGGCTATATAGAGATACCAAATTGCAAATAAACATTCCTCTACGAAGTATCCCATCTTCTGCCCATCACAATTCTACTGGCCGACATGAGTTTTATCTTACTGCATATCCCAATCAATCTGCAGTTTATAGTTTCGTACATTTACTCTCACTTTCTGGATTACAATTTATGGTGTGAAGTAGAGCGCATATATTGTCAGCTGAATAATTTTGATTTCCGAAGGAAACCACGGTAAAACATCACCTTCTCGAGGTGTGTCAATCGAAAATCAATTCACTCAAGTAGCCAGCCAGAAACTGAGTGTTTCGGAGTGTTCCGTCTGTGTCAACTGAGTCAAGCAGTGTACACCGCTAATGAGATCGGCGCCAAGCTAGCGGAACAATTTTCCAGTGCTAAGATCATATAGATCTGACGTGATATAAAACTACTCATTCTATTCTATCAGTAGTATACATAGTTCGATGCATTTTTGTAAACAGTTTAGACTTTCAAAGTCACGCTTTTAATCAGCTACCAGTATCTGATTACTTGTATTAAAGTCGGTGTGTCGGTGGCACAGTGGTTGAATGCTCACCAACCACGCCTCATGGGGTTCGGGGTTCGAACCCTGGCGACTGGAGGCACTCTTTAACCTCACTAGGCTAGTAATAAGACTGGTAAAGAGCGAAGGTTGGGCATGGGGCTAGCAACCCCATCCAGTAAAAATAAACACCACTGCAACCGAAACTTCAAGTCTCTGGTTTGAAGCCGTATGTTCCACTGGGAATGTAAAGGAACAAAAGAATAATAATAGGTTACAGGATTTCATCATGAGCTGACATTGGATAGACAACCGTTGGGAAACCACCACTCGAGTACTGAACAGCCAGCTGTTTTGTCAGCCTAATTTGGGACTGTTCATCAGTATGTACCCCCCATGGCCGGGGTTCAAACCCATGACCTTCTGGTTATAAGGCGAGCTAGCTCGTAGACCATTAAGCCACTGCATGAATTTCAACTTCTACCAATTCACAACATAGCGCAACCGCCAGCCAATGTTATCGGTGGGCGAGTATTTGTCTTCACACCTGAACTGTGCTGCACCCTGAATAATAGTAAATAAAGTGACATCTTAACAACAGAGCATAGAGGTTCTTTTCACTTCCCCACTATTCCTTTTTAATCATAAAAATTATTTTTTAAGAAAACAGATCCAGTTTCATACTGAATGACAATATGCTCATTAATTCATTGTAACTTACGGTTTAGGTGGCGCTTTAAGAAAAACAAAATAGGGATAAATTTAAGTCATTTCAATTTAGGCGGAAGTAAACTGGCATCATTTATAAATTTATATTTTCAAGTATTGGTTTTGTAGGGATTTTGTTTGATTGCATGGAGGATTTCATCATGAGCTGACAGTAGTTAGAGAACCACCGGAAAACCTGGGAGTACTGGACAGCTGTTTCGCCAGCCCGGTTTGGGACTCTTCAGCAGTACGCACCCACCGGGATTCGAACCCAGGACCTTCTGGTTACAAGGCGAGCTCGTAGACCATTGAGCCACTGGGACCCGATCCAATGGCCAACTATGAATTCTAACTTCTGCCAATTCACGACATAGCGCGACCACTTCGCAATGTCTTCTTTGATGAGTTGCTGCCTCATCTTCAACCTGCTGTACCCTACTGGTCACGGCTTCCCACTAGAACCCCAGGTTAACTGCCTGAATAGGGCCAGTCACTAGTGAGCATCAGATTAATATAAGTTAGAATTCAAGGACCATTGGATCGGGTCCCAGTGGCTCAATGGTCTACGAGCTCGCCTTGTAACCAGAAGGTCCTGGGTTCGAATCCCGGTGGGTGCGTACTGCTGAAGAGTCCCAAAATAGTTTGACGAAACAGCTGTCCAGTACTCCCAGGTTTTCCAATGGTTCTCTAACTGATGTCAGCTCATGATTAAATCCTCCATGCAGTCAAATTTATATTTGTAAAATCTCAGCGAAAATGAAATGATTAATTCCAATGTTTCGTTCGGCAATCTGGTGCAAACTTCTTCAGGGAAATTAATCGAAATTAACATAACAGAGGTGTTAGTTGCACGAACACCTTACGCCCATCACTGGTGAAGGTTAAGGGTAGAATAGAACAAGAAAATCAGCAGAATTGTGTATACCAGATCGATTGTGAGGATTGTAATGCCGTATATACAGGAGGAACTTCCAGACAGGTAAATATAAGAGTGAAAGAGCATAAACAATGTCTAAAGGTGGTTCCAAAAACCTCTGCAGACTTGAAGAAGCTAGAAAACAACTCAGCGATTGCACTGCCCTGCGTTCGATAGAAACGGGACACAAAATCGACTTTGATAAGACTAAGGTTCTACAGAAGGGGTTTGGTTCAAATAAAGAAAGACTGACTGCAGAAGCCCTACATACATGGGTGAACCCCAAAGGTTTGAGCAGACATGAAGATGTGATGTTAGCTGATTCATGGCAAATCATGACTAATAAATAAATAAAAATTGGATATGTATTAACAATTAGTCATCCTTGGTCGAAATTCCCGATTGTCTACGTCTTCTTATAGAAAGACTTACAAATGTTTTATGACTGTTTATCCACACACACACCATTGTATACTGCATATACACATATATTTTAACAAAAGTAGACTAATTTTGAATGTCTGAGGTCAAATTTCGATCACAGCTCATACAATTTTGTTTATTATACATGTTGATGCCTGTTTCATGACTCATGATAGGACAAAGTTTCAAAAACAAGTGATGTTCCTTTTATATATAAATCTCTGTAATGTTAATTTCCCTGAAGAAGTTCGAACTAACCAGATTGCCGAACGAAACATTGGAATTAATCATCATTTCAGTTTCGCTGAGATTTTACAAATGTCTACATCTCACTCAGTGCTCAATTATTTTCCCACTATCCGGTCAAATCTTGATCACAGTTCATATAAAATGGCATCAGTTAGAAGGTTAATCACTGTGTTGGACAGTTCAAGTTCCCTAGGTGGCTTGGAATAAAGTCTAACACTCATAATCCATTGATGTTTGATCCAGTGGTTAGCATTTTGAAATTTTATAAATAAAGAATAATAAAGATGCATTCAGCAAAGAAAAAATTTTTTTTAAACTACTTTATTTTTCTCCATTGATGGTTGTCTTTTAAATCCAGACGAAATTATAAAGGCACTGGAACTGAGTTCACGCTCCACTTTTGATATGTATCCATAGATATATATATATATATATAAGTATGGTGGTCTCTATTTCTGTTGCTCTCTTAGTCTGTGACCATTTCACTTTGATGAACCTGTCACCTTTAACAATCTATATTCCCCTTATTTTATATATAATATGAGTGTTTGTTGACAGTCCGTTGCTTGGTGACATATATCCATATTATATGTGTGGTTGTTGACATGTCTGCTATATTTCGCTATGTATATATGGATCGATACTTCATTATAATTAGCCATTCATGTTAAGACTGTCTAATGATTGTTCACACCCTTGTCATATATATATTTCGTTCTCACAATTTGTGTGACTGACCACTTTGGTGTGATACCACTTATTGCATTCTCCTTGTGTTTGGAAAATAGAAGTATCATCGCAAACCTAGTGGTCTTCTGATTTCCGTCTTTCTTGCGTCAGGACTATTAAATTCTCGACTAGTACATAACAATAATTTGGCGACGAGCACATAACAACTTTATTTACATTTAGATGGGTTCTTTACCGTCAAACAGAAGGCATTACTATGAAATCACTAGTGTCTCCTTTAGTAGCCAAGCTGTTTATACACTCATTTAGAAATAAATGAAATTATGAGATGCTCTAATCCTCCAGAAATGTGCGTAGAATACACGGGTGATACTTTCATCATAATCAGAAGCATTATGTTGAATGAACTTTTTCATTTAATAAACAATATGTCAGAAAAGATTAAATTCTCTAGAGTGGTTGAATCCAACGAAAATGATTTCTCTTTCCTGGACTGAACTGGACTGGTACAACTATGATAAACATTTTCAGAAAGCCAACACATTTGGACAGATACTTAGACTACTGTTCAGCACAACCCCCTACCACTAAAGTAACTGTGGCCAACAATCTGATTACACACAGACAAACGTCTTGTTACTGAGGTGGGGGTAGGATATCAACAGGAAACTACAATCGGTTTAGTCTACTCTTGAATCAAATAATTATCCCAAAGTCTTCATAAAAAGATATTTGAAATCTGAAGATAAGGATGAATCGAAACCTGTTGCTAAGAAGTGGGTTAGTACACTGGTGATTCCTCACCGACAATTCAGCAGCGAAAGCAGAGAAGATGGCGATGATGACAGTAACCAACCAGCCAACAGTAACAACACCAGCAAACACTAAGCACTGCCAGCGGAAGAGATTTGAAGGGAGCCACTTCTTTCACTTTTCTCAGAAGCATCGTTTCAACTACAGGCAGCTGACACGGATGAGGACGTCTAAGGCAGTCAGGATCGAAGAAGCAAGAGAGGCATTCCTTGTCAAGTATTGGTTTTGTAGGGATTTTGTTTGATTGGTTAAAGGGTTCCATCATGAGCTGATATTAGATAGAGAACCATTGGAAAAAACCACCACTTGAGGACTGGACATCTGTTTTATTTTAGCCCAGTTTGGGACTCTTCAGAATTACCCACACGCTGAAACTTCCATACTTCGTACCAAAAATACGGTGTGGAATCAAGCTATATAATCGAGGTACCGCATACTTCAAACACCTGAGGCCGCTATCGCAATTTGCGTGAAACAACTGGCGCTATGTGTGCAGAAGAAGCAAGTCCAGTTAGCTAGCCACTACTACTGCCCACTTGCCTTCACTAGAGACTATAAATTTTTTGAATTCCGTATTATTATCTATCCTAATTTTTCTGACATTCAGTTTATTTTTATCCTGATGCTATCGAGCTGTAATCCATCGATATTTTTAATCGATTCGATGTGATTTAAACATCATTAATGTTGTCGTTAATAACACTTATTCATCCATTCACTATTATGGATGCATATAACTGTAGAACCTGATAAAGAGCAGGTTATCGAAAAGAGTACGCTTTGTTCAGTTATCAGTTTTTTGAAAATTCTAATGCTTATTTTTAATCAGTTAAAAAAGGAGATTTTCACTACTCAACTTACTGGTAACAGTCACTGCAATTATAAAAAGGTAAATATAAATTTGTGTATTATTTCTTGGGACAAACAATATTTGCTAACTGCGAAATAGTAGTCGTAGAGGGAAAACCTCAGTAGACAACAATTTACGTCGGTATATACGTCCGGAAACGGGGTCATGAGGAAAAACAATAACAAAGCTTAACCTTGAGGAACTCAATAACCAATCACAGTAGACTTAGCGTGGGCAAATGCGATTCGCAGATATATATCGATAACTTTGTTTGCAGCGGTCACAAGCAGTACAGAATAACCTTCAGCCACAAAACAACCAATCAGAAGGTGTTGCTTCTCTGCTAAAAATAACGAATAGTAATGTACATAAAAATCTTTAAATCTGTTGATTTTCTCAATAAACGGTCTGTTGCTTGGCCCTTGTCTTCTGTTGTTACATTAATAGTTTGAGCTCTGCTTTATGCTCTTTTGTCAGAAGGCTTTACATTTTTGGTTTAGCGTTAAGACATTGATTGCCAGAATCAGTGATCGTAGATTTTGAAGCACTGAAAATCCCGGTTAAACGATGGTATGAGATCATGAGTTTGACTGAGCAGATTCTCCGAGTCTTGGTTTGCAGGCATTTGATTGATTCGTTACAGGATTTCATCATGAGCTGATATCAGTTTGAGAACTATCTGGGAAAACCATCTGGGAGTATTGGACAACTGTTTCTCCAGACTAGTTTGCCACCCACACCATTGTCAGGGTTCGAACCCAGGACCTTCTGATTACAAGACGAGATAGCTCGTAGACCATTAAGCGACTGGGACCCACAAATCCAATGGCCAGCCACTGCATGTACTCTAACTTCTGCCAATTCACGACATAGTGCAACCGCTATCCAATGTCTTCGTTGGCGAATATTTGTCCTCACACCCCACCTCCTGCACCCTACTGGCTGATCACTACCTCCCAGTAGAACCCAGGTAACTACCTACCTGAATAGAGCTAGTCACCGTTAGTGAGCATCTCATCGATATTCAAGTATTGGTTTCTAGGGATTTGACTGGTTGGTTATTGTAATGTACTGGTCGAGAATTTAATAGTCCTGACGCAAGAAAGACGGAAATCAGAAGACCACTAGGTTTGCGATGATACTTCTATTTTCCAAAACACCAGGAGAATCAAAATCACACAAGTGTGTGACAGCAAAATATGAATGTCCGAACAAGTGTGTGAACACAAGTGTATGAGCGAATATTCAAAATGAACAAATCAATGGACAGTCTTAACATGATTGGCTAATTATAATGGAATATCGATCCATATATACATAGCAAATATACAGACTGTCAAACAAACACACATATTATATGGAAATATATCACCAAGGACAGACTGTTAAACAAAACACACATTATATGGATATATATCAGTTACAGGATTTCATCATGAGCTGACATTGGCTAGAGAAGATTGTCACACCGAACATGAGTATGCAGCTTGCTGACATTGAGATTAACATTGCAAAACTTCGAATCCACAGACAAGGCTTCTATTTGCAATTTCGATGGGGATGTAGGAGTGTGGCTGAGCACGTATATCTCAGGATTATCAGGAAACTTCCGAAAGACTCGACAGATTTTCGGCTGCTTTATAGTTTAGAATCAACAGACAGTATCTGTTGGTTGATGACCGTAATGGCATACTCATTAGACGTCTGATGTTCATCGATCAATAAATCACATAAAGCAGAAGATCTTTGTGCAGTATACCTTTCCCAATCAGGGATACGTGAAATGATACTTTCAGTGTGATTAAATGTGTGCCTGTTGAAAGACTTTGCTTTAGGATGTATGCAACTGCATCGGAACGCTTTCCAATACCACTTCAGATACTCATGATTATTAACGCAATCATTAAGAAAACAAATCTCCGCATTCATCGCAGAAAGTTTGGCAGAGTTACGCAGAAACCCAATAAGTTCCTTTACCCCCTTGCCCTCTTTTTTAATTCATGGAAAATTCTTTTTGGGACATACAGAAAATCAAGACATGTGATTCGGTAAAGAGACTCTTTTCAACGAATTTATTATCAACCTCTACACTAGATGTGGATAACGCTTCATCTGTTTTAGCATATAACTCGAGTTATCCTTAATTCAAATCACTTAGTCCTAATCTGTACCAAAAAAACTACTCATGTGGCCTGTGCTACTGATAAGATTTATCAGTAGTATATAAAGATAACATAAAAACATCAAATAGCAAGGAGATAGATTTGTCGTCAAAGCGAGCAAATGACTGAGAGTTACGGAAAAAAACATAGGAGACATGGAAACGAAAATGGAGAAACGCAATATGAAGGGAATACAGAAGTAGCACAACACGGAAGATCTGGGCAAATGATGATTTTAGGAAATAAGGTGTCCATAATTTGGCTATACGGAGATACCGAACTGTTATTACACATTCGTTCACCAATACCCTCATCATCTACCGTTACGCCCGTATCGAATCGCTATTTAAACAATATTTGAACAAGAATTATCCAGAAGGATGTTCATATTATCCAATATATTCATGAAAGTTCATTTTGTAATGCATAGACTAACTTACCTTTTGGCTCTTCAGTTGCTGAAAATTAATTCGAAAATAAAAAACCATAAAAATTTTGTCTCAGCTGACTGACGTGTATAAAATACAAAATGCTGTTCACAGGTTTAGTCATGAATCGACTGACGACAGTTAGAGAACCATCCGAAACCTAAGGAGATCTGGAGAGCTGTTTTGCTTCAATTTAGGAATCTTCAGTGTCCGATTCCAATATCTTCAAATTACAAAGGTGACCTCGTAGACCATTTGGACACTGGAAACCGAACCTTATTCGTAGTTGGAGGGCTCTTCGTCCAAATAACGGTAGGTGCGTGCTACTGAGGAGTCCCAAACTAGGCTGGCGAAACAGCTAACTGTCCAGTTCTCCATTGCTGGTTTTTTCAATGGTTCTTTAACTAATATCAGGTCGTGATGAAACCTGCAACCAATCCACTCTCTGCAACCAACGCTTGATAGTAAAACACATTGTACCACACCACTGGATATCTACTCTAGTGATATAGTTCAGCTATAGGTAATGAAAAATAAACAACCGATCTCAAAATTTTAGCAAAAGAAACACATTTTATCGTCATAAGAATCAGTTTTATTGAGTATCGCACTAGCAAGTACAAAAACTCAACCATACCCTATTTAGCTCGTGTCCTGTGCGATAAAGAAAGCATTAAGCGTGATACCTATAACTTATTAAATAGTCAGCAGAACAACTGGATCTCGTCTTTCTAACTCATATCATTTATAGGTACAACGTCTTCTTTCTTTCTTTTCCCTTTCTCTCTCTCTCCTTTCTGTTATGTGCTGCTTTGTTTCTCTCTTCCTTACCTCTAAGCAACTCTACCTATCTGTTTAAAACTAAACAATGGTACGATCCATTAAAGTAAATAATTACTCATTCATGAATCGATCAACTGACAAACATTAGATTATGATCCACACTGTATTATTGTTATTATTTCCTTTAATTCCTAGAGGAACATAGGGCTTCAGCCGCGCGTCTCCATTGCCTTCCGTTTTGTGCCAACGTTTTCACCTGACTCCAAGTCTGTCCACATGCTTTCATCTCATCTTCACATAACCGCCTCCAAATCATCCTCACACTTGGACGACCAACTCACCGCTTCCCTTTCGGGTTCCACTAGTGCAATGGCTTGTCTAGTGATGTCACTTGATGGTTTCCTCAGAGTATGACCAGCCAATCCATCTCCATTTCTTCCCGCCTATTTGCTGCACAATCACTTCCTGGTTGGTTCGCTCCCAGAGATCCCTGTTGCTGATCTTTTCTGGCCGGCCATCTGATCTTGAGTATTGAGGGAAGATATCTGTTAATGAAGGTCTGAAGTTTGTTTGAGATGCTCTTTATGACGCGCAGTGCAAGTCTCTGATCCGTATAGTAACACAGACTGACTTCACATTGGAGTTGAAAATCCGGATCTTATTTTTGATGCTGAGTGTTGACCTCCACACAGACTTGACAGTAATAAAGGCCTGCTCGCAGGTTATCAAAAATGTGAAAATTCTTTGTTCAGTATCCATTTTTTTGTAAATAGAAATTCGCTTTTCGATTACTACGCTACATTTGCTTAGTTACATAAAACTCTTGTTTATGTGGAATTTTTTGCTAAAAAGTTGTGGAACTTATTGTGATTATTTGCCTTTCGAACATTAAATTTGTGGATGTAATCTTGTTGACCGATAATACCTATAACTATCTGTCCAACACTAACTAATATCTATAATTGCATATATTGATGGATTTACATGTCCAAGTTGGCTGAAGTCAGTGAGTCTATGATTTCGGTATCATTTTTGTTAAATGTATCTGACTGTGATACTACTGCTAAGGTGAGGCGTGAAGCCAGCAACCCAACCCTGTAAACAAAGTTGTTTTAGAAACTTCAGCACAATGAATCTCTCTGCACTGAAAGAAAAAGTCTGTGTGGCGACATGGAACGTCTGCACTGTGTATGAGACTGGCAAAGCTGCCCAGATTGCAAATGAAATGAAAAGATCCACGCTGTATGTTTTACAACTAACTTATCGTGCTATTCAATTACCCGCCATAGTATTTTACAACTATGATTCAAATCTCATTAGAGGAGTGAACTTTCACTAATTTTTTTTCATTCTTTTGCTTATTCAAAAGAGAGAGACCCAGAGAGACCCAAGCTTGAGCACACTGCTTTGTTAAGTAACAGTTGTGTCTGGTTTTTTAACCTAACACTGGCAAAGTTAAAGTTTATGCACCATTTACTACCACTACCAGTCAACGAATGGCCTCGAACGCACCATTGTGTACAGAATACAAATATTTATGAAAAAAATGCAGGCTTTAGACCAGGTAGAGGGTGCATAGATCATATCTTCACTCTTCGACAGATTCTAGAACATAGACACACTTTTCGGCGTCCAACAATTGTCATATTTCTTGACTTGAAGGCGGCCTTCGACTCCGTGAATCGAAAGGTACTATGGCAATGTCTGACTGTGAAGGGAGTGCCAAGAAAGTACATTGCACTAATCAAGGCACTCTATTCAAACTCACGTAGTCGTGTAAGGGCTTATGGGGAATTGTCATCTGAATTGGTAACAACCAGTGGTGTCCGACAGGGATGTCCACTTTCCCCATTTCTGTTTAACTTCATCATAGATATGCTGATGGAAGTATCCTTAACTGGACGTAATGACTTAGGAATCGACTTGTTACCAGGGAATAATCTTATGGACTTAGAATATGCAGATGACATAGTCCTGTTAGGGTAGGATGCTGACAAAATGCAGAGTCTTCTGAAAACCTTGAGCAGCAATCTCCGTATGTTTGGCATGCGATTCGCCCCTACAAAATGTAAGATGCTGCTACAGGACTGGACCACGTCAACTCCTAACTTAGTGATAGGGAGTGAAGTGATAGAACATGTTGACCACTTCACCTATTTGGGAATTTGTATTAGCACCAACGGACTGATTGGCGATGAAATCTCAGCACGGATCCAAAAAGCTCGAGCTGCTTTCGCTGACTTACACCATCTCTGGCGTAGGCGTGACATCCGGTTATCAACCAAGGGACGTGTGTACTGCTCAGCAGCTCGCTCCGTCCTTCTCTATGGCTCTGAAACATGGCCAATACGCGTTGAAGACATGAAAAGGTTGACTGCTTTCGATCATAGATGTCTGCGATCTCTGTCTCACGTTAGGTGGTTTAATAAGGTAAGTAATGTTGACGTTAGGCGTAGAGTGTTGGGCAAAGACGGAAAATCAATCGACGAGGCTATAAAGTTACATAGACTAAGATGGCTAGGTCACGTGCTGCGCATGCCTAACCACCGCCTCCCCCGACGGGCATTGCTAGCTGATATAGGTGAAGGTTGGAAAAGAGCCAGTGGTGGCCAAACAAAAACATGGCCTCATCAATCCATGAAATCCTTGACAGTTAAACTGAGTCAGGTAGGGAGATGCAGACTCCCGGGTTGGGGGCCTCGGGACTCTAGGAATCAATGGCTGGAGACAATAGGTGACATGGCTCAAAATCGTTGTCAATGGCCAGCTCAGATGTATTCAGTCTCTATAATCTTTCATATTCCTTTCTACCATTACCCATTCTGTTTCACTCTTATACTTGTCAGACTGTATTGATTCTCTTCACTCATCTTCTTGTCTACCTCTGTGTGCTATTTGGAACGTGGCAACTCGAACTGGTGCACTTCGGTGCCAAGTTCTATGTTGAATCCAGACAGATATAAAAGCGTTTCAGAGGACACCTTCCTTTCACATGTGATAAAAATAGCTCTCATTTTTAGGCTGGAGTATCCAACAGAGTGTAATTCCATTGTGGGTAATATTTGCTTAGATAAAGTCTCATGGTGTTCTTATACAGTAATATATACTGAGCAATAAATTGTGCTCGAAACGTTGTCATCAATAAATATTACTGTATAACTACACAGTGTAACAACAGAAGACAAGGGCCAGGTAACAGATCGTTTTATTATGAAAATCAACACGTATTTATACATATTTCAACTACATTATTATAGACAAGCGCAGTCATCTGATTGGTTGTTTAGGTAGACAAACGCAGGCTTCTGATTGGTTGTTTCGGGATTCCTTGACAAATAGAGTTCTCTATCTGCGAATCATATTTTGCCACGTTAACTTTGCTGTGATTGGTTGTTGACTCAGCCTTGTTCATATCTTCTCACGGCCCACATTAGTGACCTAGACCTTAACGTAGATTAGTGCCAACCAATCGGCTAGCAGCCTGCTCTCACCACACTCGTCCCCCCGTCAAATACGTGCGACTGAAGTCGGCTTGATCTACTTGGTGCAGGTGTCATCGTTGGCTTGTCTCGCTGTATCCATTTCTGGAGCTCGCTGACGTTCACGCGCCTCTCATTGTTCGCCATTGCGACTGTGTCTGCGTAACCCCATCTCGAAGTGACCATATATGGTCCTTCCCACTTTGGAAACTGTTTGCCTGACCCTGTCGAACATTCGTCCATACTTCGGCTCACACTTTCATATGCTGCTTTCACCCGACCTCCCAGCAGCGTCCCAAGTAGCAGCTCCATTGCTGACAGATCTTGAACGCCACTCAACTGCGCAGAAGCCTTGAAGTCCTGCCCGAAGATCCATATGTCTCCATCGAAAACAGCAGGGCATAGGCTTTCCATTTGTCGGTAGGCAGCGACACCAAATGTAACAACAGAAGACAAGGGCCAGGTAACAGATCGTTTTATTATGAAAATCAACACGTATTTATACATATTTCAACTACATTATTATAGACAAGCGCAGTCATCTGATTGGTTGTTTAGGTAGACAAACGCAGGCTTCTGATTGGTTGTTTCGGGATTCCTTGACAAATAGAGTTCTCTATCTGCGAATCATATTTTGCCACGTTAACTTTGCTGTGATTGGTTGTTGACTCAGCCTTGTTCATATCTTCTCACGGCCCACATTAGTGACCTAGACCTTAACGTAGATTAGTGCCAACCAATCGGCTAGCAGCCTGCTCTCACCACAACAGTATGTGAGATTTTATCAAAATAACTTTTACCCCCCAAGGGCATTATACTCTACCACCACAATGCACAAGTTCTATTCTTATGTCAACAGAGTAATTTAACCACATTCCATGCATGTAATTATTTAGGTCTTCTAACTCTAAGGGCGAAACTATCCCTAAACTAAGTGTAATCTAACTTGAACCAACCCTAATGTCACCTTTAACAGGTTAACCTAACCCGAACTTTTCTTTGGCTTAAAGAGTAACTTAATCTTGCCCAAACATAAGCTGTAACTTGCCAGATATCCCATTTAATAGCATAACATAACACTTCGATGAGCATATTTTATTGATGGTGACAACATAATTTGCCAGGTTTCACTAACTTGTTCAGTAAGTATCTCAAGGTCATTGGTGCGGACGCACTCGATTGGTATTTACACTGGTGCTCAAAGTTTAACTTGGCCTTTGTGCTCAACCTTCCTTCTTCACCAATAATAATAATAATAATAATTTGCTTTATTCCAAAACAGTACTTGTGATACAGAATGGAATTCTCAGCATTGCACAACAGTATTGAATCCAGTTAGTACATTAACAATAAAATAAAATTCTACATAGATTAAGGGTAATCTCAGTTCATTATGACAACAACATATTGGCATGTCGGTAGTAAAGCCAAAATTGAACAGAGTGTTTGAAGGTGTTAGAAAAGTAGGTGCTAGCATATTTATTGGCGTCAGCGGTAACAAAAAGGTCGAGATATACAGAGTGTGAGAGAACGAAGAAGAATGTTTTAAGTATGGTTTATAAGGAAGAGAGAAACAAAGTAGCACATAACAGAAAAAGAGAGGGAGAGAACAGGAAAAGAAAGAAAGAAAAACGTTGTACCTATAAATGATATGAGTTAGAAAGACGAGATCCAGTTGTTCTGCTGACTATTTAATAAGTTATAGGTATCACGCTTAATGCTTTCTTTATTGCACAGAACACGAGCTAAGTAGAATATGGTTGAGTTTCTGTACTTACTAGTGCGGGCATATAGTTTTCTATATAGGCTTCTGGTTCTGCCTGCCTGACGAGATACAAGGGGAGAGTTGTGAATGAAGAGGGTGGTGTGAGTTAGGTAGAATGGATTTAGCCCATTTTTCACATGAATCCAAGCGCCTGTCAACCACAATATTAACAACCTGGTTAAGTGGCATGTAGCTTACCCTGCTGACAACCTTTAACATCCTGCGTAATAAGTTATGGTCTTTGTTCAGTAGCCCAGGAAAAACTAAAGGGGAACAATAGAGAATAATAGGCAGAATGTGAGAGTTAACGAATTGTAGGAGTAAGGGTTGGGTTGAGTTGGCTTATACCAGGATGTCTTAACTTCTTGATGTAGAAGGCAAGACGGAATATACCTTATGATCAGCTAAAATTTAAGTTTACAGGTGTGTTCTCTTGGGACTTAACCATGAACTACATGCGTGGGTGGATGGTGAGCATCGTGTCACTGAACTATCAACCTACAAGTCTAGACATATGTGTCCACAATTGATTTAAGTGGGTAAGGTAAGGTGAATAACATCTCTATTATCTTATCACCAGCTAATACTCTTTTAATAGGCTGCATCAAACTGTGTAATTCTAAAACTTACTTGTTTCAATCACTTCTGAAAGAGTTGTGAAAAGAATAGCACATCTGAAATATTAGTATACTTAAATTCATGAATTACAATGAGAAATATAGTGTGGTGTGTGTATGTGAACACTTGATATTGAAGAGAATGAAACATTTAAGCTGTTCACAATTATTTGGATAAGCTAAACTGTGTTCTAAAACAGTTAATTGTCTAGTGAAAGCTGCTTGAAAGCCAAAATTGTAGACAACAATTTACGTCAATGTTTACGTCCTGAATCAGGGTCATCAGAAAAAATCAATAACAAAGCTTAACCTTGAGGAGCGCAACAACCAATCACAGTAGACTTAACGTGTGCGAACTAAACTGAACAATCTATCTTCCAACATCCAGTTTACTTCGGAAATAGAATCAGACTTCAGTGAACTACCATTTCTAGACTTCCTAGTTAAGAGGAGGGAAAATGGACATTTTAGTATAACCATATTCAGGAAAAAAACCCACTCCAGTAAATATTTAGACTTCATGTCATCACACTCTATCAACACAAAAGTATCACTTGTTTCAAATTTTCTTTGGTGAGAACACTCTTTGATGCTGACGGATAAGAAGGCAAAAGAAGAAGACATATGAAACATTACTGAGACTCTCAAGAAAAACAGCTAACTACCCAAAGAACTTCATCAACAAAATCAACACCGACATTAAATATGATCGAAAATGCGTATTCCGACAACATGAACCTCAACTGTTATCATTCCATATTGATAATCGGATGCGTCAGACGATATCAGAAGAATACTCAATAAGCACAAAAGCAGAATTTTCTTCAAAACATGAGACACATAGTACAGATCAACGTTGTCCATGTAAAAGATCAAAATCCTCAAAGATTCTCAATCTAATTGGATCTAAAAAATAAAATGCCTGGAATGCGATGCGATATACATCAGACAAACCCTGCCAGAGAGAAATCATGGTAATCAGAAGAAATGAACATCTTAGAGAATCTGCTCGACTACTGAGAAATCCAGTTAGTGAACTAGAAAAGGTTGAAAAATCATCAGCCATAGCTCGTCTACAGGCTACACCATAGAATCAGGCCACAAAATTGATTTTGACAATATTGAAAGTGTGAGGACAAATACTCGCCGAAGACATTGGCTAGCGGTCGCGATATACCGTGAATTGGCAGAAGTTAGAATTCAAGGCTGGCCATTGGATCGGGTCCCAGTGGCTTAATGGTATACGAGCTCGCCTTGTAACCAGGAGGTCCTGGGTTCGAACCTCGGTGGAAGCGTACTGATGAAGAGTCCCAAACAAGGATGAAACAGCTGTCCAGTACTCCCAGGTTTTCCAGTGGTTCTCTAACTAATGTCAGCTCATGATGAAATAGTGAAACCAATCAAATCCCTATAAACCAACACTTGAATATTGAAATAATCCAGAAAAATTTCAGAAATCAGAAAGAACTTCTCACACCATCAGAAGCACTTCATATCAAGTGGAATCCAAATTACCTGAATAGGAATGATAGACTAAAACAGAATTCGACCTGGTTACAAAGCCCTCACCGGTACCCCATGAAATGACAAATTCAAGATGAGTGGGATAAGCAATTTCATTATGTAAACACACGCTGTTTTTATAATTTTACACACTGATCAAATCCAACAATCTACACCTGGTTGTGTTATCTTTACTAATTGGCCAACTTTACAACGGAAAAAGGACCCCCATGCTAAGAAACCATGATTAAGTTGTTAATATAAGCTGAGTGGATTTTGTAAATTCTGGTTTAATAACACTACTTTGATAAAGCTATTAGCAGCAGTATTCAATAGCGAAACATCAATAAAAACCATGTCATTTTGTTTTTCATTCATTGGGAAATACAAAACCTTTTATAATAAGGAATATTACCCTCTGTTATTTCGGCGAATAGTGACTACCAGTGGAATCCAGGAGGCGCGTTTCGCCCTAATCGAGACTTGTCAACTAGGTATGTACCTGCATTCCTTAGTAAGTGATAGTAATCCCACTGAGACTCGAACCCAGCGCCTATTACTTCGAATGTCACAGCGCCATTCTGCATTCCACACAGCTAATCACAACCAACCAAAAAATAACAACTTGGCAGTCTTCAGACAGCGTGGAAGCTATTGTACTGGGAGGCAATATGTCACCACGAACTGAATATTTCAGTCCAATATAATTAATCAAACGGAAATAGAAAAATTAATTTTATTAATTAATTAACCATTACCTTCTTTATATATTGGCCTCGGTCCTCCTGCTAAAGAATTTTCAAAGAAAAATGCTCATATCGTTAGTGTATTAGTCTTCTTGTAAATATAAACAAAATCGTTGTTACGCAATTACATTCATCAATTCCAATATTTGAAGGATTCAATATTAGTTGAAGGATTTCATCATGAGCTGACATCGGTTAGAGAACCAGCTGTGAGTAATGGACAACCAGTTGTTTCGTTCTAGTTTGGGACTGTTCATGGTTCGAACCCAGGACCTTCTGGTTACAAGGTGTGCTAGCTCGTAGACCATTAAGCCACTGGGACCCACCACTCCAATGGCTAGTCCATGAATTCTAACTTCTGCCAATTCTTGATGCTCACTGGCGACTGGTCCTATTCAAACAGTTAACCTGGGGTTCTGGTGGGAAGCCATGATCAGTAGGGTATAGCAGGTTGAAGGTGAGGCAGTAACTCATCATTGAAGAAGACATTGCGAAGTAGTTACGCTATGTCATGTATTGGCAGAAGGTAGAATTAATGGACTGGCCACTGGATCGGGTCCCAGTGGCTAGATAGCCTTGTAACCAGAAGGTCCTGGGTTCGAACCACCCCAGCAGTGGATGCGGACTGCTGAAGAGTTGGAAACTAGGCTGACGAAACAGCTGGTTGTCCAGCACTCACAAGTGATTTTCCAGTGGCTCTCTAACTGATGCGTCAGCTCATGAAGAAACCCTCCAATTAATTTAATTTTGCTTTATAATATTTCATTTTTGTTAGATAATCACTTACGTCATTGAAATTACATAACAGTCTTCACATGAAGCCTTAGCTAAGTATGGTAAGTGTACTGTTTCCATTGCTTGTGTTCCCAATGGAACACAGAGTGTTGTATTTATGGAGTGAGGCCACTAGCCGCACGTTTAACCTCCCATTTTTTTCCAGTAAATTATGCGAGGTTTAGGAGTGCACACATCGTCTGGAGATCGATTCTTAACCATGTGCGTCGTTGGCGATCATTCTATCACTGAACTATCGACGTACTAATATAAGTAAATAGAAGATAAAGAGTTTCATCCTGTCTCGGACTCATCAGTTGATTGAGCATGAATCACATTGAGTGCTAAAGTTTGTCACTCAGACTTAATTCAAGCACCCAACCTTCCAAATATCATTAGACTGTAAGTATTCGAACTCAGTAGAATTAATCTAACAATAAAGGAATCCCTGTGAAACAGGATCTTAAATGAAATACACTTATTTATTGCAGTGGGTAATTTTCCTTGTATTGACAGAAGGTTAATCTATTGAACAAAGAATATTCTTTTCGACAACCTCCCCGGACGGCGCACTCCTTTAATCTCGCCTAGATTACTAGCGCGCTAGTTTTCTAGCCGGTCCCAAGCCCGGATAAAGAGGAAGGGTTGGGGCGTGGTGCTAGCAACTCCACCCACAAAACTCAAACAAACCGCTACAAAAACTTCAATGCACCAATATATTCAAAATTCTAAAAATATAAACAATAGCTTTGATTTTCGCTGGAGTCGGGGAAGTGAAATGACGCAGGCTGGTGAAAGCCTTCGGGAAGCCAGTCAGCCGATGTGCCTTCTTTCGATGAAAGCAAAAGTAAGGATGGGTACCTGGAATGTTCGCACAATGTACGAAACTGGAAAGGCTGCCCAGATAGCCGCTGAAATGAGAAGGTACAGAATAGAAGTGTTGGGAATCTGCGAGAGCAGATGGAACGGAACTGGAAGGTGCCAACTACCAACTGGAGAGACAGTAATCTGTTCCGGCCACCCAGAGGACAACCACGAGCACACCGAGGGAGTGGCCATCATGATGTCACCAACAGCAACCAAAGCTCTCATGCAGTGGGAACCAATCTCCTCCAGGATAATGACAGCCAGGTTCAACTCAAAAGGAAGGAAAGTTACAGTCATTCAATGCTATGCGCCTACAAACGTCTCAGAACAAGAGAAGAAGGAGGCGTTCTACAGACAACTACAAGCAATAATGGACAACGTCCCAAATGGCGATATCAAAATCCTGATGGTGACATGAATGCGAAGCTGGGAGGAGACAACACAGGAAGAGAACTCACCATGGGTCGTGAGGCCCTCGGTGAAATGAACGACAATGGTGAACTCTTCTCAGACTTCTGCGCCTTCAATGATTTGGTGATTGGCGGTAGTGTGTTCAAACACAAGGATATACACAAGACGACATGGATTTCACCAGATGGAAACACCAAGAACCAAATAGACTTCATCTCAATTTCAAGAAAGTGGAGACGGAGCCTACTGGACACAAGGTCAAGGAGAGGAGCAGATGTGGGTTCAGACCACTATCTAGTACAAGGGACTTTCAAGGTGAAACTAAAAGCCTCGAGGATAGCTGGGATAGGCCACAATGCAAGTTCAACACTCAATTACTGAAGGACACAACCACAAAAGACACTTTCACTGCAACTGTCAGAGCAAAGCAGGAAACACTACGCGACATCACTGAAGAATCATGCGTGGAAGAACATTGGAAGTCTCTGAAGGCGATTCTCAACGAAACGTGTTCAACGGTTCTAGGAAGAAAGAAGAGACAAGACAAGGAATGGCTCTCAACGGACACTTGGAAATTAATAGAAGAGAGGAGAATGGTGAAAGAGAAAATGATTCAATGCAAGGACGGACAGGAGAAGGAGACGCTGAGCTCAACTTACACAGCATTGGACAAAGAAGTGAAGAAGAGTGCTAGGAAGGACAAAAGACGATTCTACGACAACCTCACCACTGAAGCTGAGAAGGCAGCAGGCAAAAGGGACCTGAGGACACTATATCAGATAACCAAATCTCTATCCGGGAAGAGACCAACACAAGCGAAACCTATAAAAGACAGCCAAGGGAACCCAATTACCAAGGAAGAAAAACAGATTAAACAATGGGCGGATCACTTCAAAGGACTCTTGAACCGACCATCACCTGCAACCCGTCCAGAAATACCAACAACAGCGCGCACACAACTGCAAGTTGACACCAATCCTCCAACGAGAGCTGAAGTCTTGAATGCAATCAAGCTTCTGAAAGCTGGAAAAGCAGCTGGACCAGATGGAATACCCCCTGAAGCACTGAAAGCGGACCCAGAGACGACAGCAGACATGCTGACTCCATTATTGCAAAAGGTCTGGAAGGAGGGAAAGGTGCCTACTGACTGGAGGAAAGGTTACCTCGTGAAACTACCAAAGAAGGGCGACTTAGAGCCCTGCAAGAACTGGCGAGGAATCATGCTCCTGTCGACGCCAAGTAAAATCCTGGATAGAATAAAGGACGCACTGGAGACAGAACTCCGACCAGAACAAGCTGGATTCAGGAAAGGCAAATCATATTCTGACCAAATTGCAACTCTACGCATCATCATCACAGAACAAAGCATGGAATGGCAATCAAACCTCTACCTCAACTTTATAGACTTCGAGAAGGCCTTCGACAGCGTTGACCGCGAAGTAATTTGGAAACTACTTGAGTACTACGGCGTGTACCCCAAATATTCATCAACCTTATTCAACAGCTGTACGACAACGACACATGTCAAGTGATCCACAACGGAAAACTCAGCGAGGCATTTGGAGTAAACACAGGAGTCAGACAAGGGTGCTTATTATCGCCAGTGGTATTCCTAATTATGGTGGACTGGGTTATGCGTCAGAGAGTGAGTGGGAAACGAGAAGATAGCAAGGGATATCCTGGTCCAACCGACGTGAAGAACCTGGAAGATTTGGATTTCGCGCGTGGATGATTTATGCTTGATGTCACTGTCACAAAACCGAAGACTTACAAGCGAAAACTGACAAACCGGTCGAAGAAGCAGCAAAGACAGGACTCTAGGTGAACATAGACAAGACGGAGGTTATGAAAATAACCAACAACAACATCCAGCGCCAATCACCACCAACTGGAGAGATTTGAAAGAGGTCACTTCATTCACTCACTTATCTAACGAGCATTGTCTCAACTACAGGAAGTCGGAACGGACGAGGATGTCAAATCGAGCGAGAATCGGGAAGGCGAGAAACACATTCATTCATCAACCTGAAATCAATCTGGAAATCTTCGTCACTCAGCATCAACAGCAAAATTCGGTAGGATTTTCAATACAAACAACGTCAAGTCAGTCAGTCAGTTCTTCTATACGGATCAGAAACTTGTCAGGCGGGTGGGTCATAAAGAATATTTCCAACAGCCTGTTGCAGACCTTCATCAATCAACAACTGTCTTCGCTGGCTCTATACTGAAGATCAGATGGCCGGCCGGGCCGGAAACAATCACCAACAAGAAACTATGAGCACTAACAAACAAAACAAGAATCAATCACCCAACAAATATGCAGGAGAAAGTGGAGACGTTCGCTGAAGACTCGCCGAGGAGGCCGGTTGGTGACGTCGGGCGCGCGTCAGGGCATTGCTCGAGTGGACCTCGAAAGGGAAGTGGCGTGTGGGACGTCCAAGGGTGACATGGAGGAGATCGTGTGGAGAGGAGTTGAAAGGGAGGAGTATGGACTAACATGGATGGAGGTGAAAAGTACAGCAGTAGAAGACAGAAGCAAGTGAAGACGTGCAGTTGAACCCCTATGTTCCACTAGGAACCCAAGGGAGCAATAATAATAAAATGGATTACAGCTCAATAGCATCAAAATAACAATACACTGAATATCAGACGGACACATTAGGAAAGATAATAATACAAATTCATGAATTTATGTCTCCATTGAAGGTCGGTCAGGACAGTAGTAGTGGCTGACTGGACTTTTCAGCATACAAAGCACCGGTTGTTCCAGACAAATCGCGATAACGGCCTCAGTTGCTTGGAGTATGTGGTGATTGGATGTTTTTGGCAATTTGTTTGGTACCCGATAGATGATTATGGAGAAGGATCCTTCAATGCTAACCTGTTCTGTGGCCAATGGCTTTAGATCAGATGCTCTAATATCGAGTTGTTGATGCTTTCTCAACTGAAAGATGAAGTACCTGGACTAGTTAGCCACTTGTTAATTTTAT